CAAAAGAAGCATGGTCACACTTATCAACAGTCATAAATTTCATCCACTCGTCAGCTTTCACATAAAACCTCACTGCACCATCTTTCATTAACATTATAAAAACTTTCAGAAAATCATGAATTTGAACGTATCGGTTTTGTCGGTGCAGGTATTGTTTACAATCTGCATAACCTCTCCGTTGCGGTTTTCAGAGTGAGAAGCTTGGCGGACCCGACGAATGATCATTCACTTCCTTCGAATGAGTTGTTGATTCCTCCGTTGACGTCATCGATCGTCCGAACATAATGCGCTTCAACTTCATGTTGTCACTTTGCTGCTGCCTTCATTCTTTCTCGGATACTGCCGCCGGATACCGTGTTTTGCCGAAAGTCGCCGAATGAAGTCGGCTTCCGCCGCTTCGTCTATGCTCGGGCGTTGTTGTTTCGTTTTGAACTTGAATGATTGAATGATGCATCGGGCATGACGTAGCAATATGGCCGAACTGGTTGCATTTAAAACACTAATCCCTTTTCTTTATATGGGCAAAATGCAGACGTATGATTCATCTCGCCATGGCTAAAACAGCGATTCTTTTCAGATGGTTTTTGTCTGGGACTGCGCGCCTCCGATCGACGACGTTGTTCCATTTTACTCCTTACAGTTTCGTAAATACGTAGCTTTTCTTTTAATTTTGCGTACGTAGTTACACCATATAGCATTATCTTATTTGTGTCCAGATCACGTATCCCATCGACAATATATTTGATTGCCACGTAATCTGGCATTTTCACATAATTTTATTTGGCCGGATATTTCGCCTAAAACTCGTACACTGTCTTCTGAGGGATTGTACTGCACAGATCCCGGACGAGCCCCCAAAAATGTAGTGTTGACCGTGCAGTAAAACCAGAAATATCTTGAAAACACTCTTTATTTGAATTTAATTAATTTTTGCGTGCGCGTCTTTTCAAGCGTCGTTTTTTCCTCCATCTTCCTTTTTTATCATTCTCACTTACTCGCTATCATTCTTTTACTCATTCGTCATTCGCTCCGTTCCTTCCAGATCACTTCATTACGCTGCGTTCCATCCCACATTAATTTATTTTTATTTTGCAGGGCCTGTGTAATGATAGCACATGATACATGTAATAAAATAATGTAAAACTAAAACAGAATAAAAATTAAATTAAATCTTCTTGTGCCTTAATACAAGCGCCGCCACATAAATGCTTAAAATGTAACTTAATTTATAATTATTACATTATGATTATCTTTTCTTAGATACAGTAACAAAGATACTGAGAAATCAGTTGAATCATGAAGTATCTGATAAATACTTTCAACTTAAGCATATACTAAATACACATTATTTATTACATAATTAATTTAAGAATATAATAGCAGAAACAATATTAAAAATCTCAAATTAGAACAATGTTTTAAATTGAATTAGAAATCACATAGGTGCGAAGTTACCTTTTAATTTCTTCTTTGTTCTTTTTGGCTCAATTTTTTCAACTCGGCTCAATCTTATTGGTGAAGGACTTAAGTTTCTTCTATTTTTCTTAAATTATTGGTCTTACTATTTTTTTTAACTAATTCCATTTATCTTCGTGTTATCGTTGAAATTTTCTTAATATTTTTTTCTATGGTTAACCTTCGTTTTTTTACAACATTTTTATTTTTTTTATAATAGACTTTATTACCATTATCCCCTTAAAGAAATAATAATCTTGTGGTGTCTTTCCACATCTCAAGTTGTTGGTTTTCTTGTCACATCCGATAGTGTGTCAATTCAATAATTGAAAATGTTTCATTTATTTTTATTTCTCCATGAATTATTTTTGTTTAAATTATTTCCCCATTGTATTTAACAACTGGTGCCACGGGGAGCGCGCGGGCAGGCGCAGTGTTGCCAGCTGCCCGCGCGCCGCCCTGGCTCACTTTTTCCCGCCACCGCGCGCATTCGCGTCGATGCACACCGATAGCGTGAACGAATGAAAGCGCAACCCAGCACTATTGATGATACTTTGTTAAATGATAGTAAGCAATTTATAATTACAATATTTATCACTATAATCGTATTTATAATCGTCAAATAGTTTGATGACTCCGTCGAGAAGTGGCTTAGCAATGAGTTGCGGCGTTAATAGCCGCGGTTCCGAATCCCGCACGGAACAAGAATTTGTATGGACTACAAATAATTGTTCCGGGTCTGGATAATTATCCTTGTGAAATTTATGTACTTATATTAACTACCTCCACGATATATTTCTAAGAAATTCCTAGTGTGAAGGTTACGTTATATAAAACAAAGGAAAAAAGATATACTTAAGAGTAAAAGCGAGCACACTGGGCGTGATCCCCGCCGACCCTTTTGTTTATGTTGATATTTATTTTATATAATACATATCTTTCAATTCGAACATAGACATCAAAAAAGTTTGTAATCACTAGGAAAAGCTGATATATTTTTACGTTTAACTTTATCAAGATTTAGTGTTAACGTTACATTTTTCGAAATAGAAATACACTATTTGAAATTAAAAAATGAAACGTTTTTTTTAAACAATAATTCAGTAAAATTGTAATAGAAATTTGATGGAAATTAAAAGATTGTTTAACCAAACTTGTACAACAAATTATTAATAGAAGGTTTTTATTTACTACAATTAACTCCTCCCCTGGCTCGAACACATGCGAAAATCCTCCTGGTCATGCTAAGGATGAAGTTATCCAGCATTTCCTGCGGTAACCTGATCTCTGACAGTCTGGGGACGTGGCTGACGGTTCCATATAGCTCGCTTAAGAGCATCCCACGCGGGGTTTAAGTCAGGCGAGCGGAAAGGCCAAGCTAACCTTGTGATGTCGTATTCTCGAAAATGGTTTTCTCGGAATAGTTTAACAGTTTCATCAATAGCGATTTTTTGTACTTATCTGTTGCCCTGGATCCTCGATAAGGAATTAAAGATGTTCTAGCTCAAATCATAATTCCACCCCCAAAGAACACTGATTCAGTAACAGTTCTTTGCTTTTCAGAGCCTCCAGGTCTTCTCCAAACACGGACACGTCGATTATCTGGATAAGTAGGTACTAATTCGCTATTCGTCAACGAAGAAACAGTTTTGATAAATTTTTTCCCCTTTATCCTCTTCATTTTGCCGAAGCTCACTACAATTTCCATCGCTGACGTTGCCGTGAATTTACCATCCAGAAGAAACAATTTTGCCAAATGTTTTCCTCCTCATCTTCATTTTAAAGAAATCCGAAAAAAAAAGCGAGCTATTTACGCATCTATTACGCAGTTCTAGAGCGATCGTGTATATTTTTGCAGCATTTAAATCTCCATGATCACACTTTAATAACATTGTACGGCGAATGTTAGGAGAGGAGTTAAACAAACGAATGATGATATAAGACTCTCTTTATTGTATTAATAAATTTGATTATATAGGATTATTATTGCACTTGTGTGTGTACTTTTATATACTCTTACTACTACTACTACTACAACATATTTACACCGTTCAACTTGAGCCCGGTTTTGTTCTGGGTCGAGTTCATGTAAAATTATCTGAATTTGCCTCATACCAACACCCAAATGTCCTGGAATCTCCTCAAAGGTGATGTGCTAGTTTTCCCCAATTAGTCTACTGATAGAATTAAGATTTTCATCAGTGATCGCAATGGAAAATAGATACTGCAGCCATCAGATACCTGCAGCGAGTCTACAAACACCTTCAGTACACTTTTACACTATCCCCACCCCCACCACAGTCTATAAAAATTCTACTGTTGAACATAGGCCTTAGCCATAAATTCCCTCATAGGGAATAGAGAGAGCACCTGTATTGGACACTATTATCCCATCCCACGCCGATGGCTAGTCTCCGTTGAGGCGGGCCGCCGTGACCTAAACTCGGTCGGGAGGACATTATTATTATTATCCTATCCCACGCCGATGGCTAGTCTCCATTGAGGCGGGCCGCCGTGACCTACACTCGGTCGGGAGGACATTATTATTATTATCCTATCCTACGCCGATGGCTAGTCTCCATTGAGGCGGGCCGCCGTGACCTACACTCGGTCGGGAGGACATTATTATTATTATCCTATCCCACGCCGATGGCTAGTCTCCATTGAGGCGGGCCGCCGTGACCTACACTCGGTCGGGAGGACATTATTATTATTATCCTATCCCACGCCGATGGCTAGTCTCCATTGAGGCGGGCCGCCGTGACCTACACTCGGTCGGGAGGACATTATTATTATTATCCTATCCCACGCCGATGGCTAGTCTCCATTGAGGCGGGCCGCCGTGACCTACACTCGGTCGGGAGGACATTATTATTATTATCCTATCCCACGCCGATGGCTAGTCTCCATTGAGGCGGGCCGCCGTGACCTAAACTCGGTCGGGAGGACATTATTATTATTATCCTATCCCACGCCGATGGCTAGTCTCCATTGAGGCGGGCCGCCGTGACCTACACTCGGCGGGAGGACATTATTATTATTATCCTATCCCACGCCGATGGCTAGTCTCCATTGAGGCGGGCCGCCGTGACCTACACTCGGTCGGGAGGACATTATTATTATTATCCTATCCTACGCCGATGGCTAGTCTCCGTTGAGGCGGGCCGCCGTGACCTAAACTCGGTCGGGAGGACATTATTATTATTATCCTATCCTACGCCGATGGCTAGTCTCCGTTGAGGCGGGCCGCCGTGACCTAAACTCGGTCGGGAGGACATTATTATTATTATCCTATCCCACGCCGATGGCTAGTCTCCGTTGAGGCGGGCCGCCGTGACCTAAACTCGGTCGGGAGGACATTATTATTATTATCCTATCCCACGCCGATGGCTAGTCTCCGTTGAGGCGGGCCGCCGTGACCTACACTCGGTCGGGAGGACATTATTATTATTATCACCCGCGGGATGGTATAAGGTAGTGGATACTCTTACACCGCCACTAAACGTCACTTTACTATTTACTAATTCATCCACATTCGTGTACAGTGCGCCGGGCTGGAGAGCTCAACGGAAGAACTATCGCAGTGCTCGTCACGCGATGCAGTCGATGCGCCTGGTTGTCTTTTTGGGGTAATTAATGCACATTTTATATTCCATTGCGTTCATTCTTAAGTTATATTTCCATTATTTGTCACGTCATGCTCGCTTCTTTTATTATTGTCATACTATCTAACAAAAGTTTTTACTGGTACTATTATACCGAACAATATTTTCACCATGCGCTTTAGCAATTCTGCCGCTTGGGGCCTGCAGCGGCTACTCACACTGGCGACGCGCAGGTTGGAAATTGTTTCAATATACTACAGCATCTAAAAAGCTAGATTGTTTGTTTACAGTTTTGTTTGACTTATTGTTCACCCGGTAAATTTTAAGATAAATGTATCACTTAGACATGTGTCAATCGTTCATTACTATTGACCTGATCGTTGAAGTATTTTAACAGTGGTAGAGCCACGCGGCAGCTTTGCTGTTGCACGTATCGGCCGGCTCAAACAGGGGTGGTACCACGACCTCACAGAATACCGGCGTGAAGTGGAAGCTCTGCTTCCGCGTTTCGTCTGGTGAGTGCAGGTGGCCGGAGGCCCAAATCCCCCCCCCCCCCATCAACATGGTAGCGGAATTAAATGATGATAGACTACCCCAGGAGGGTACCTGGAGAATAGCTCCTGTAAAATAGCATCATGCTATAAGCAGGAGTGCTACCAAGCCTAGGCTGACGCATCAGCGTCCCAGGATGTAAACACCAGCGCTCTAAAAAAGAAGTATAATTCCGCCTCTAGGTCCTTCAAAAGAGTCATTGCCAAGGCAAAGTCAGAGAACATAGGCAGAATTGGCGAGAAACTAGTTCGCCTTCCTTCTGGAACCCGTGCATTCTGGTCTCTCGCCAAGGCTGTCCAGGGGAATTTCTGTCAGCCATCTCTTCCATCTTTGCACAGGGAGGACGACTCACTGGCCCATACCGCAAAGGAGAAAGCCGATCTTCTAGGTTCTTTCTTTGCATCCAACTCGACTCTCGATGACGGTGGGAGTACGTCCGCCGACCATCCCGCGGTGTGAGTGCTCTATGCTGGAAGTGCAGTTCACACAGAGCTCGGTTCGTAAAGCACTCCTCTCCCTGGACATCCACAAGTCGAGTGGGCCTGACGGAATCCCCCCAATTGTGCTGAGAACGTGTGCTCCAGAGTTGTCACCGGTTTTAACGCGTCTTTTCCGGTACACCTACTCCCTAGGCGTAGACCCAAAATCATGAAGGACGGCTTTCGTCCACGCGATCCCTAAAAAAGGTGACCGCTCAGACCCGTCCAACTACCGGCCTATCGCCATCACCTCCTTGTTCTTCAAAACAATGGAGTCCATTGTAAACTGCCAGCTTATGAGGAACCTTGAGGATCACCAGCTGATTAGTGACCGCCAATACGGTTTTCGCCGTGGTCGGTCAGGTGGTGATCTTCTGGCCTACCTAACTCACAGATGGGCGGAGGCAGTAGAGTCCAAGGAGGAGGCATTGGCCGTTAGTTTGGACATTGCGAAGGCCTTCGATCGGGTTTGGCACAAAGCGCTTCTTCGAAGCTCCCATCCTATGGACTTCCCGAGAAATTGTGCGATTGGATCACCAGCTTTCTTGCAGATCGGGGCATCAAGGTCGTTGTAGACGGTGCAAGCTCCGATTGCAAGCCTATTAATGCTGGTGTTCCACAAAGCTGCGTGCTATCGCCAACGCTGTTTCTTCTGCATATCAATGATATGTTGCAAACCCGTAACATTCATTGCTATGCGGATGACAGCACTGGTGATGCTCTTTACACCGGCCGAGCCAATATTTCTCGGGAAAACGTCTCCGAGTGCCGGGACAAACTTGTGTCTGAAGTCGAGTCTTTGCTGAACAGAGTCTCGGATTGGGGGCGACTAAATCTAGTCCAGTTTAACCCCCAGAAGGCACATGTTTGCGCGTTAACTGCTAAAAAGAACCCCTTTGTCGTATCTCCTCAGTTTCAAGGCACTCCCCTTGTTGCAGCAGACAGTATCGGAATCCTCAGCGTCGACATATCGAGTGACGTGCAGTTTCGTGGTCACTTGGAAGAGAAGGCCATATATGTCTCTATAAAGCTTGGCGTGCTCAGCAGAGCGGGACAGTATTTCATGCCGGCACACCGCCTGCAACTTTACAAGGCGCAGGTTCGGTCGCACATGGAATACTGTTCCCATCTCTGGGCTGGGGCTCCCCAGTACCAGCTCCTTCCACTTGACCGCATCCAGCGCAGAGCGGCTCGAATCGTCGACGACCGAGTGCTTTTCGATCGGCTCGATTCACTGGCGCTGCGAAGAGATGTTGCATCTCTTTGCATTTTCTTTCGCATATACCATGGAGAGTGCTCTGAGGAATTGTTCGGATTAATCCTAGCCGCCAAATTTCGTGAACGCACTACGCGGCAAACGTCCCGATATCATCCACACCATCTGGATGCTTGGCGGTCCACCACTGTACGTTTCAAGAGGAGTTTTCTTCCGCGTACAATCTCTCTGTGGAATAGTTTACCATCAGCGATTTTTCCGGACCGATACGACCTGGGGACTTTCAAGAAAAGAGCGTACTCCTTTCAAAAGGGCCGGCAACGCACCTGCAATTCCCCTGGTGTTGCGGTTGATCATGGGCGACGGTAGTCACTTAACATCAGGTGAGCCGCATGCTCATTTGCCCCCTCTTCTATAAAAAAAAGTATTAATTGGTCATCTGTACCGGGACGCGAATGTCACTCATTCAAATCGATCATTTTGGCTTTCGGTTTTCTAAGATCTGTGAGACCCGCTCGGTTCTGTCGATGGGTAGCACGGATTCGATCGAAAACGAACAAATACTTCACTTAACAGTTAACATATTTATTTCATGGTGTTCTGAACTATTAAATACTATACAGCAAAATATGCTCAAATTTGCATATGACTTTCAGAATAGGTAATGCAGACTAATGATAAAAAAATAAACTCAAAAATTCTGTCTTTCTTCTTTCCTTTTCATCTTTTTAGTTCTGAATACGTGAAAATGCATTATATTAACTGATTATCATTCATAAATATCTAAAGCCCACTATTGTACTACGCACGTACAATAGGACATTTACATTCGTAAGAGTCGCTAGGTACCTACGGCCGCCCGGCCAGCCGACAGCTGAGAGTGTTGACCGCGCGAGTCCGCATTTTTAAATGTTCGTAGATAGTATCCTTTATCACCAGAGGCGAAGCTAAAGCTCCAAACTAGGGCAAGCGCAAGATATAAATTGATAAAAATATAGATTGTTGTTTTTAGCAGTTTTATAAAAATACACCAGTCTTGATCTGTCTCCACTCTTCAGTTTCGTATTCAGTGTTGTCAAGGACGTGTTTAACAAAGCACACAAAAGGCATACTACCGCTAGATAGATTGTATGATAATATAAAATTAATATATACCTATATATAAGCTATGTGCTAAAATAATATAAAATTGGTTACAGTTTCTTATTCTAGGTGCGATATCTACCTTCTTTTACTTCATCTGAGTTTATAGTTGCAGGTAGTCCTTCGTGGTTATCTCAAAACACACATACAAAAGTTTCTGTTATAAAATATTAAATAGATTGATTGAAGCGACTTGCACATTTGTATTGAATACGTGGATGGTCTAAAAAGTTCCGACCTAACAAGATACGATAAGATAGACATTTTTTCTTAAAATTTATTTTTATTTTTCTACATAGTCTCCTTGTAACTCTACACACTTCACCATCTCTCTAACGCGTCCAAATAGTACTCGGCGTTTTTCTCTGAAAAATAATTGTTCACGAAGGATTACCTCCTCATTTGACGAAAATCTGTCCTTAGAGAGCAATTTTTAGATGAGGGAACAAAGAAAAAGAAGTCGCTTGGGGCTAGATCTGGTGAGTAAGGTGGATGGTCAAGCAGTTAAAATGAGATAGCTCCATGACTATCCCCAAAAACAGTCGCCATCACTTTCCCAGCCGAAAAAACCGTTTTGCTTTTTTTGGAGCCGATTCACCCTTTGCAGTCCACTGTTATAACTGTATTTTTGTTTCGGGCGTCAAAACTCGTATTTATTGCGCCTAAACTGCGCCAACAGAGCGTTGGAAATGTTCATTCGAACACGTTTTTGGTGTAAACGTTCGAGAATTAGGGCGCAACGCCACTTATTAGATGCGGATGGCGAATGCCAGCTGTGTGGAGTATTTAAAGCCATTGCGCAACGTATAAATAGATTAAAATATTACCTGCTTACACCTGGCTGCGAGGTAGTTGCGGCCGAGTTTGCAACGGCACCTATGGATTTTGGAATTCTTTACATGCATTGTTATGATGTGTATGATATTTTATTTAAAAGAGAAGTGAACGAATTTTTTTTTTTGGAATATTCATTAACATTAATTTAATTAAAATTACTTGCAGCCACTTCGACCGGCTGCGGTATTATCAGTGTATTCTCCTATTCATAAACGTATGTAAAAATGTGTGTTTGACTGACGACGTAGTGATTTTGCAGCGGGATCTTAGACTACTACAAATATGGACAAGTACATTCACTACCTTTTATTTACGAGCTGCCATCTTCACGTTGAGGTCGGAAAGTTTTCTGACACATACTAATACTAAATATCTCATTAACAACTCGCGCAATCCAGTCTATTACAGATCACATGTTAAAAATATAGTGTTAATCATTGTTTAGGAATTGTTAAAAAAATTATTTCAATCATCAATACTTGTACGCGATCCGGACCAAACGAGCAAATTGTTCACGATTGACACACGTCTATGTCACTGCAGTATGTGCCACGGCTCAGCAATCACTTTTATAAGTAGAAACACTAACCAAGTAGTTAAAAACTGTGAGCCGTTTTGAGAAAGTCATTGCTTTGCTGATTCACCCACTTACCAAACAGACTGTATTAGTGCAATGTTTTCTAGCACTTTAGATTTTTTCCATGGGGAATGCCTTCGCAACCGCCTCGCGGTGGTAAGAACGGGTTACGTTGAACTAGCACCGATTAAACCCCCGAATCTACATTCACCTTATATAGGCAGGGCCACAATAACGCTTTCGAACTCATCCGCGATCCCATCACCAGCCGACTTTTAGCGGCCTTTTTTTCTCAGAGAACTACTCCTTCCCTAATCCCTTCTCAGGCAAAGCGCGCCAGAACACAAGGTGCGCTTTTCTCTAAGTTATCTATCTCCATCTGCGGAACAGATCACCCGAGTCTGTTACGCGATAGCCATAGCCCAAATCGAAAATAAATATTTCCTGTAAACTAGTAAAATTGGTATGGATTTTATTGCTAGCATATAGTGTAAAATGTTTATTTAATATTGTTTAATAAGACTTCTTAGAACCTTCTACACTATATCATCACGTGGGTATTGCAAGAGGCGATCAAAGAATATGAATTAGGAGATCAGCTATGTATAGCATCTTTCTGGTAACAACTCAAAATATAAATACTCGTAAACTGCTGTTGTCAAATCCCCTGGCAACTATGACAAAATTAGGCATTATGAGGGGAATGAGGCAGGAGGGGGGGGGGACATCCAGCAGTAGACATGGTTGTAGTAATTATAGTGGTTGAGCAAAACTAGCAATGCTAAACTTTAATACAACGCGACCAACCCGAGTTCAGTATATATTTTTTTATTATATACAGCGTGTTAAATTGCTTGTAAGGTAGTGTAAATATATACGTTTGCAAAAATAATATAACTTCATTTATTTAAATTTTATATTCTATGTAGTTATTATTGGAATACCTAAATAGACTTTTAGATAGGACAGGAATTTTATGCACGCTGTATATACTTTATTTGTCACAAGTCGTGTTTAGTTATGTTATATCCTTTGTAATCATTTAAGGAAATAAATCAAAATAATATTTAGGAATAAGTGCCATTTTTACAAATAAAAAAGATACTCACGTGAGTTTCCCAATGGGTAGCACAGTGCTCGTTCAGTTGGTAGTAGTGAGTGGTGTGTGTGTGTGTGTGCCGCAGGGCGAGTCGGCGCGGCGGCGCGGTGACCTGGTGCTGCGCACGTGCCACGTGCTAGAGCTCGCCACCAAGCTGTTCCTCGTTGTGCAGAACGCCGTGGGCGCACCGCCACACGTCAACATTGCCACGCAGTCAGTGCCGGTTCCGTCCTCGCACGCCCTCCACACCATAAGCACGCCTCACGCGTGCCGTGACACGCACACACCTCGCAACACACTTGACAGCACCCGCACACACCACGCGTCACACGTGAGATCACACGTGACGTGACACGCTCACAACACGCATCATACGTAACTTCACACGCACACACCACGCACAGCACGTGACGTGACGAGCACACGCTACGCATCACACGTGCCGTGACACGCACACACCTCGCATCACACTTGACAGCACCCGCACACACCTCACGTCACACGTGAGATCACACGTGACGTGACACGCTCACAACACGATCATACGTAACTTCATACGCACACACCACGCATAGCACGTGACGTGACGAGCACACGCTACGCATCACACGTGACGTCACACGCACACACCTCGCATCACATTTGACAGCACCCGCACACACCACGCGTCACACGTGAGATCACACGTGACGTGACACGCTCACAACACGCATCGTACGTAACTGCACACGCACACACCACGCACAGCACGTGACGTGACGAGCACACGCTACGCATCACACGTGACGTCACACGCACACACCTCGCATCACACTTGACAGCACCCGCTCACACCACGCGTCACACGTGAGATCACACGTGACGTGACACGCTCACAACACGCATCATACGTAACTTCACACGCACACACCACGCATAGCACGTGACATGACGAGCACACGCTACGCATCACACGTGCCGTGACACGCACACACCTCGTACTTTTAACCTTACCTTCTCACCGGGTAAAACCAGCATCCATCCGAGGACTGGTCAAAAGGTTTTTTGGTCTAATAATGCAGCTGAAATAATAGTAAGAGAATGTCGATTGCGCACTAACGAACTGTTCACCTTGCGTGCGAAGTATGATTAGATAATACGAGTACATGAAATGTCATTTTCTAAATCCAGTAGCAGTAGTAAAAAACGGCTGATTTAGTCCTTGAAAAAATAAACAGTTTTAAAGTTTTCTTTTTAAAGCTATAATTTAATTTACATTAAAAGTTATCTTTTTAAAAATATTAAGAGCGTGGATTAATAGTGTAGAAAGAAAGAGTTGAATTTAGATACTTTTTTGCTTCCAGTCCGTGACACGTCACATTGCATTGCTTATATTTGAGGCTGTAATTGTCTGTAAATTGCGGCCTAGTGGTCGCAATTTATTAAAGTTGCGACCACTAGGCCGCAATTTTTCACATTAGTTTACGACCAGATAATAATAATTTAAGGGGTGTTAACAATGCTTGAATCCTCCATGAAAATAGTAACTACACTGATTTAACTAAATTAATAAAAATTTTGCTGAAAGATTTGTACGCTAAATACATTACGACCTTAATGATGGCAAAATATTTCATAGTCTTAGTTGGTTTGTTGGATTATTTTTTTATTATCTTATATATTTTTTGGTGTTTACACTTCGCAGATTTGAGGCGAATTTTGGGCAGCAGATCGTAACGATCTCTTTCCACGCGCTGGGCGGTAGCGAGGCTGGTGGGGCCCGGCTGCTGCGGCGCGGCAGCCGGATGGACGTGCTGCTGTGACCGCGCCGCAGCGCACTGCACTGCATCACACCGGACCGAACCGGACCGCACCGGACCGCACCGCACCGCACTGCACCGCATCACACCGGACCGAACCAGACCGCACCGCACCGCACTGCACCGCACCGCACCGCACCGCACTGCACCGCATCACACCGGACCGAACTGGACCGCACCGCACCGCACTGCACCGCATCACACCGGACCGAACGGAAGCATCGCACTGCACCGCATCACACCGGACCGAACTGGACCGCACCGCACCGCACTGCACTGCACCGCACCGCACCGCACTGCACCGCATCACACCGGACCGAACCGGACCGCACCGCACTGCACAGCATCACACCGGACCGAACCGGACCGCACTGCACCGCATCACACCGGACCTAACCGAACCGCACCGCACCGCACTGCACCGGATCGCACCGCACTGTACCGTACTGCATTGCCCCGCACCGGACCGGAGCGCACCGCACGTCACCATACTACATTGCACCGTAACGGACCGGATCGCACTTCGCTGCACCGTACTGCACTGCACCGCACCGCATGGCTTGGCACTACACCGACATGTTGCACGGCGTCGCACCGCACCAGGGTGGCACTGCACCGTATCGTACCTTCGTATTACTTCGCACAGTTGAACGGCAACTTGTTGTTTATTTCGAGTTATTATATATGAGGCCATAAGAACTTAAATAGCCTCTCTCGTGAAACAAGTTTACAGTATTAGAGAAAAACTAGGAGCCCTTAAGTTATAATCATTTTAAGTTTTATAAAATATAGGTACATATATAATTAATTGCTGCCTAAACCTCTAGTTATGTGATATTTTGTATCTTTCAGTAACTTTAATAACCCTAGGTACCTTATTTTATTTATTTATTATCAGATAGACCACTTTGGCATTTAGAGGTTCAGATTTGTTGAATAATTAAATACAGTTAGTCCAAATTATTTATTATAAAATAGTATCCTTACATTAATTCTCAGTCACTAATCCTCCTCATGCGCATACAAACCATTCCTTACTGAAGGATTTTTCTTAATATTAGTGTAAAAATCATGATTTATTGCGGGAAGGAATGTATTGAAGAAGTTTCACCGTTGGCAATATTGACAGAATTATTTTTCTCTTTTCGTCAAGTTCACGTTGTCAAGCAAGATCTCTGCATTATTTGATTGCATAAAGAATATTGTAACTGCGTGATTGTTATTATACAGTATGCGTGCATACACTGTATGCGCAGCTAGTTTACATTTCATTTCTCTGCAGTGATTTTCCTATTAGTAATATTTGTTTTAATTTTGTTTGTAGAATAGAAGTCTTCTTTGGGTATTTTTATTTATTGCACCTTTTATAACTTGCATCCAATCATCAGGTACGTAGTATGTAAATATTTTTGAAATATTTCTCTTTGTTTCTTTCAACCCAAAGTGTTGTTCACACGGCATGTATGAATGACCAATTAAAAAAAATATGATCAATCGTTTCCACCACTGGAGGACCAGCGCTGCACTGACCAAGAGTAGCCATTTGTATGTTGCGGTCCTGGCCACCACATTGATCAGAATACATTATTAGGTCTTAACATTTTCTTTAATATGACGCAATGAACAAGACCCTATTTCTTGAGGTTCTCTCGAAGCTGCCGCCTCATCCCATACGCACAGTGGTGTTGGTCAGCTGCACATGTATGAATAGGTTGCAGGTCCGTTGCTGCCGTTATAACAACATACGCCAGTTGACAGCACTCTCGCCACGCGCGGAGTGGGTAATGTTTCCATTAAGTCGAATACAATTACAGTCACATCTAGGTCTTCTTTAGCAAGTTTTTTCGTGTAATTAACCTTGACAGACTCAGCTTTCGACAGATGTAACTTTTTTGTAATTCTAGTTGGTCCTTTCCTTATTGTGAGGAAGCTGCATCTATATTTATCTTAAGATTGTCACATTTTTACAAGAGTCTGATATGGGGACATGAAATAATAAGTTGAAATGTTCATTAAAAAAATTCTAAAAATAAAATCTGATACCCTTTCTGACTCTGAAGATTCCTCACACTACAGGGAAAACACTTGCCAAACTTAGACTGGGAGCTAAAATCTTTCCATACTTAAGGAATTCATCAATAAATTCTTTAACTCGCTCGTATTTTTCTCCACTTGTTTCGCGGACAGGGTCACGCGTTCCCCTTTTATGAATAGGTGGTGTAGGAATGGACGGTTTCCATTTCAAAACTCTGAATGTCTTCCATCAGATATTGCAAATACTTTTTTGAAGAATTGCTTGCGTACTTTAGTAGACAATCCGTCAGAATTTGGAACAGTATACACTCTGGTATTGGAGCGTCTAGACTCAGTTTGTTAGCGGCCAGAAACAATAGAGCATCTTTTTTTTAGGTAACACTCGCTAACGACCATATGTAAGATGACTGGAAGTGAAACTTTCCATATCGTAAAACCACACAGAAATACAGAGTTCGTTTTGCTGTGCAACACTAACGTTATCATGGCGTTTTATCCACATCTACATGAAATGGCTGTTTTACTTTTAGAGCGTACATACAGTGTTACCTATTGTGTTCTTCCATTCCCTTTAGCGCGTTTTACCTTTCTTATATTCTTTATCCACTTACTTGGCTATCGTTACTCGTATTCTTGACTTCTCTTGGGAATTTCTTTGACTTACGGTGCGTTGAATGCTGTTAAGAGACCGGTTATCTGTATCTAATATATCGAATAGATCCATGTCAGCTGGTGATGGCGATCTAGTTGGCGAATACTCCGAGCCTGAATCTTGATAGTGGTCCCCCTCGTCAACGCCAAAGATTTCTGAAAGTAATACGATTTTTTACGTAGCAGAGCCACGCCGCAGATATATTATGGTTGCAGCCCGAATGGGTTGGCTCGACCAGGAAAGGACCACGCTTACAATAAAACCAGCGTAAAATAAAATAGCAGCTTAATGCTGCTGTGTTTTGTATGGTGAGTGTAGTTAACCGGACACCCGTTTTACTGAAATCGAGGCATTCCATCGTAGTCCTGAGGGGTGTCAACGCATCTGCATGTTGGGCAGTCTATGGGCCACAGCATCCTGTTACTATCAGGTGGAACGTGTGTTCATTTGTTATCCTTATTCTATAAACAAAACTTACTTCACCTACACTCATTGCGACAAAATAAGTACCAAAATAATATTTTACACACCTAGTATTGCGAGTATATTGTCTACATTCCTAGAGGCTCCTGGTTCCATATTATCTATTTTTTGTGCATATAAACAATCCAGTCAACTATCTAAAAACGAGGCTGAGCTCGATGATTTGGCTTGTGTCAAAGCAATGACGGTTGTAATTATGTTGTCATAATTATAGCGCTCCCACTTTTTAAATTTCTGAAAAGCAAGGATGGTTTTTGTAACGTCACCTATGAAAAAATATTATAACTAATTTTTGGCCGTTATGGCGTTAGACCTTGTCGTTTTCAGAAGTTTTATCATATAAGTACAATATTAAAAAATGACAGGCCGTTCAGGCTCTCATGGGCTCATATATCTTACAAAATGAAATGTGAACGAACTGAAACTTGTATATTAATATAAAGTTTATTATTTAACTTTGGTTAAGCAATTGTTTTTAATTACTGCCTAAAATCAATGTATATGTTTTGTACAAAAGCTTACACCGTCGCTTTAACATGATGCCCTCGTACCTCACGCTAGCAATAAAGTTTCACAGCTTGCTTTTACGGAATAACTTTTAGACTGAATGTATGTCACTCGAGCTCGTGATTAATGTATATTTCGGATGATATTCATTATTGAATAATGATCGGTTGTGGCGGCGAATCGATTCTTATGAAGGAAGTGTAGTTGATCGGAGTGTCGTTATACACTGTGGATTAGTACTGTGGATTAGTCGATTGTAAACTTGATAATTATTAAAAAAGCTGTTTACTGAGGAACCAGAATTAATTAATTTGTTTCTATTGAGTGCATGCGTTGATAAAATCGTGATTTAATAGTAAGGCGTTGTTGTTCAGTTGTCGTCAGAGAACGCGTGGGCTCGCAAATGACTCCTAACTAGTTCTTATGATACTTGTAGTTAACTGAAAGTTCGAGGCGCGTCACACAATTTAATTAAGTTAAGATTAAGTCGCTCTACAACAACACAATAATTTATCTGTAATTATAAATAATAATAATAAATTGAATGCAATTGAAAAACTGCCGAACGCAAACGGCCTATATTCGTTCGTGTCTGTTTACTGCCCGTGGCGAACGAACGGGAAGGAGTCCGCATTTCCAGATTTGCTCGTGCCAATTTGAAACTACACTTATGTGATCTCACGTGCCAAAATAACTTTTAACGCTTTACTGACGGTCTTCGCGCCGTAAACACTGTTTGTCATTATTTACTTAAATTAAGAAATGCCTAAATATGGCTGTGAAGATGTGTGAGAGCAACGGATAATTTTTGAAGGGAAAATGGGGGAAGGGGGCGTAGCAGGCATGTCTCTAGCCGTGCCAATATCGGTATCAGCATGCTATCGAAGGAGCACGAAAAGAACCGTATAGTGTAGAAGGTGTCGGCGAGCCGGCGCGCCATGTGTCTACGAATGCGCAATCACCGGTGCGTCGACATTTTGCATATTGTACAACATGTTACGTTTCAACGATAACTATTAATGAAATGTTTGATCGTTTTAAATAAATTTTAAGAGAGTTTTTAGAATTTTGTTTTATTTACTATATTTTACCCTTAGAGTATAGGTACATAAGCAAGCTATAGAGCGCGCGTATATCTCATTGCCCATTATACCAAGATTGACGCCCATGTGTTATTGTAATTGTTATTAGTTTAAATTGGATAAGTATTTAGTAATAACTAGCTGCTGCCCGTGACTTCGTACGTGGATGATGTTGCTTATGCCAGCGACAACGGGGTCGTCAAAATCGAAGATCTAAAACGTCTGATGTCGAATTCTAAGAGCCC